GTTTGGGGTTAGGCCTCAAAATATTTTAAAATGTTTAAAAAATTTTTAAAAAATCTATAAACAATGCATTGTTGGAAAATAACACTAATAACTCTGTCATCCATTCCCAGGTAATCACAAACTACTTTCCATTTGGCCAACGTTTGAAGGCCTTAACATCTCATCTCTAATTTCTGTTTTTTTTTTTTGAATTTAAAAAAAAATTGGGGGGGGGGGGAGTTGCCAGGGATTGAACTCAGGAGCACTTGACCCCTGAGCCACATTCCTAGCCCTGTTTTGTGTTTTATTTAGAGACAGGGTCTCACTGAGTTGCTTGGTGCCTCACTTTTGCTGAGGCTGGCTTTGAACTCGCGATCCTCCTGCCTCAGCCTCCGAGCCCCTGGGATTACAGAAATGCACCACCAAAGCCCAGCTTAAAAATAATTCTTTCAATGTCAAAAATCCCTGTGTGCAAATCCACTCATCCAAACGCTTGACGTCCTGCTACCGGCCGCAAGCAATGGCAGGAATCGCCTATGGAAATCGCGGCTGCCCCGCCTGACAGCGGGTCTCCCCCCAGGTGGAGCACTGTCCTGGTAGCCCAGAAGGGGCTGGCAGATTCGGACAGAGGACTTTCCATGGTCAGCGAGTCCTGCTGGGCCTCACGGGCCCCGGTGTGTGGCTGGCATGCAGTGAATCCTGTGGAGTGACTCCTGTTTGTCACCGCGGGCAGCTGGCTCACTGGCCCGTCCCCTGCATGGAGAAGGCTGGCCAATTCCACCCCCAGGTCACATGTTGGAGGCAGGGGCTCTGCCTTACCCCTGGCCTCGGGGACAGTCAGCTGACAGGCCACTAGGGAGGCTGAGTTGCTCTTTGGGCAGAACCATCCAGAACAAAGTGCCCGGGGCCTGGCCAGGGAAGGGAGCTTTGCTCTCCCCGCCATCTGTGGACAGAGGACAATCCCAGCTGGGGGCAGGTGGCCCCAGGTGCAGTCACGTATGGCACAGCCGGTCCTCACACGTCCTGGGGTGGGACGTGCCAAGAGGTTTAGGAAGCAGTGGTGCCCAGGGCTTCACAGGCAGGTGAGTCACTGGGCCTGCACCGGGGACGGCGGGGTCAGACGCAGGCCGGGGCGTGTCTTGGCCGGAGCTAAGCACAGCTATGAATCAGGAGGAGGGACCACGCTGGTCCCTCGGTGTGTGTGAAGTGCACACCCAGGGGGCAGGATCCAGGGTCCTGTGTGCTGCCAGAGCGGGAAGCTCCCGGGGCCTGAGGAATGCTGCCCACCAGCCCTGGCACAGCTGGGCCCCTCTGCCCCCGCCCCTCTGTTCCAAAGCTATTTCCCCTGACTCCCACCCTCCCCTGGAAACGGCCCCAGGACTGGGTGGGGGGTGGCAGCTCCCCCTCCCTCAGCTAATGGCCACTGAGCCTCGCGAGCCTCGTGGAGCAGATCCTCCGGATCGCGTTCCCAGACTGCAGGGACACAAGGTGGAAAAAAAAGTGGGGTCAGGAGTCATGGCCAATTTGGGGGAGACTGCTGGCCTTGAAGTCAGGGGTGCTGACCCTGTGGCCTCCAGTTGGTCCTGGGAGTAAAGGTGCCAGGGCTCTGCCGGCCACATACTGGCCGCGTCCATCATGATCTCAAAAGACACAGTCTCCAAGGTCATAATCCCGAGGGTTGAGATCCTGAAAGCCCAAATCCCCAAGTTGCGATTCCCATGGAACAAAAGGCCGTACTTGGGTTTGTCTTTCAGGATCGTGGCTCAAACCCCGCAGCTGGATCCGGCCAGGAATGAAGGCCGCTTCCCTCAAGCATGAGCTTTGTTGTAGAGCCGGCCTGGCAGGGCTGCCTGGTGGGGCCCGGAGCAGAGAGACAAGCAGGCCTGTCCCTTGTTGCACTTTCAAGTGACTTGTGACCTCCAGGGCAGCCTGTTTAGCTCCTGTACTGCAGCAGACCTAGACCCGAGCAGGCCTGCGGAAGACGAGTTATTTAACTGACAAAATGTTTGTTTTTATCCAGTAGAAATGTCCTCGGGTCCCTCTTGAGACCATTCCGTAAGCAATCAGACCATCCCGACTAATCGTCAGGAAAGAGTGCCCCGCGGGGGTATCAGAAAGAGAGTTATCAGGAAAAATTAAACAGTGACAGAGCATTAGTATCTGGAAGGAAGAGAGTCTTGTCACATCAAGAGGCGGGCTCCCCAGGATGAACCCAAACTATGTAAAATTTTAGATGTCATTAACAAAAACAGGGGGGCTACCAAGCTGGGTGGTCACGGTGGGCTCCTGAGGATGGATTCCCACCGCCCCTGCCTGTCCAGGAACCGTCTGATGGTGACATCACGCAGGTCTCCGGTTGGTTTAAAACATCCCTTGTCAACAGTATTGCAACTTAAAACCCTCTCCCGCTCCCCACCAATCAGAGATGTTAAATCGGGCAAGAGATGTGCATTCTGGAATTACCTTCTGCCGGATCTCCAGACCATTTCAGAACGTCCTAAAGTCACGTCCCTCACCAGGCTTCCTGAGACCCCGAGCCAGTAGCGTCCACACTGCTGGGTTTCACAAACACTCCTCTCTTCCTTAGCAACCTCAAGAGCAAGATGTCCTGTTACTAGTGCAAACCACTTTTTATTTATTCCAGTACGGTGTTGAATTAATAAACTGGCCAAGACTTAGCAATAACTGCGCCCTTATTCCACTCTTCACTGGTCTCAATATCGCAAAAGAAAGAATCGCCTGCCCCCTTGTGGGGACCACGGGCACTGCTTCCATGACCGTCCAGCACCGCAGCTCAGTGGGGGGCACCACAGGACCAGGGGCGACCTCTAATCCAGGCTTTGGGTGGAATTCTGGGTGCAGGAGGGAACCTACGGCAACATTCCCAGGTGAATTTTCCTCCCCGGTGTTCCACACACACAATGTGTAATTTCTTACAAAGCCATCATGTGTTTTTACTGGTGTCTTTAGATACCAACAGGACTTGTGTTTTTAAAATGTTTCTTGTATTATCTTTTCTGAAGTTTAAAAAAATCAACTGCTGTAAAATAACACAGGAAGTGCACCATCCTGGCCATTCCTAAGCACACAGCACAGTGGAGCTGGGTCCATTCATGCCGTCAGGTGACATCCCCCTCCATCCACTCCAGAACTCCTCTCCCCGTGTAAAGCTGAAATGCTGTCCTCATTAAACACTGAGTGAGTCCCCATTGCCTGTTCCCTGCAGCCTCTGGAGACCACCATTTTACTGTCCATCTCTACCAATCTGACCACTCCAGGGTCTCCATGCAAGTGGGATCATGTAGTGCTTTTCCTGTGTGTGGCTGATTTCACTCAGCAAAATGCCCTCAAGGTTCATCCATTTTGAAGCAGGATTCCCATCTTTTTTAAGGCTTCATAATATTCCACTGTATGAATATACCACATTTTGCTGGTCTATTCACCCATCGATGGAATTTGAAGAGCTTCCATCTTTGGCTACTGTGGCTAAGGCTGAGATGGATGTGGCTCTTTGAAACCCACTTCAGATCTCTGGGGCATGGGCCCAGAAGTGGAATTACAGGCTCAGGTGGGAATTCTAACTCCTAAAGATCTGCACGGGGGTGTCCACAGTAATGGCACCATTTCACATTCCCACCAGCAGGCGCCAGGGCGGCAGTTCCCACCTCCTCCCTACAGAGAGAGGTGCTGGGGATGGAACCCAGGGTCTGGCACACGGTAGGCAAGTGCCACATCCCCAGCCCAAGAACATATTTTTAAAGGACATCATTTAAACATGACAGAGAGTGCAAGTTTAAGTCATTTCATTTTATTGAGATGCAAAACATCTGTAAACAACAATCCAAAGTAAACCATGAGAGAAATACAGTCACCATGACAGAGTACAACAGACCCAGAATTTAAATTCACTGTATGAACTGAATCAATTTGCCGGCACAGAGGGGATACCAGGCCTTTCTTGCTAGGAAATTATTTCCACATGTTCCCATTGTGCAGGGCTTCTGAACCTGGGATAAGCCGAACTACAGATCAACATTTTAAGAATCTGAACTTGGGAACTATCAATGATTTTGAAATATGGGGGTAAGGAAAGGTCCACAGCCGAGCAGCTGCGAGCTACGCCAAGACACAAACGGTCTCCTGCAGAGCAGCCCTGGTTGCTGGGGTGCTCAGGAGGCCCCTGCCATACTGCCGGGGTGGGGACCCCATGGGGCAAGAGACAGGCTCACCCACCACTGTGCGTCAGGAAAGCACAGGTTCCTTCACACGTGCACATCTTCATCCTGGGGATTTTGGGTTTCTTCTAAACTCCGCCAATTATTTTAAACATATAAACAAGGCTGTTTTAGGAAACCATACGGGTCTGAAATCCCAACAAGCAACAGCACTAACGAGCAATTTCCTACCTGCCTGGCTCCATCATTAAAAGAGAAGACAGACCTCGGGGCACGCTCTGCTCCTGAGCCAGTGGGACAGGGCACTCCTCATTGTCTACTCTAACCTCGTCTTTCATCGTCTACTCCGTTTTCTCCTCTACAATAGGATCTTTTTGTTGAACTTAGAATTGATTATAAGTATTCGGGTAGCTTTAAATTTCATGGAAAGCTCATATGCATAAAAAGGACATAAAGTTAAGTCTTTCCTGTTTAAAATCATACTATCAGAGCCACCAAGGGTGGGTGTGGGCAGTTCAACGTGAAGTCTTCCAGCTCAGACGGTGGAAGCACGAGCTGGTCCAAACCGCGGAAATGACCGCTATCAAGAACTCATTATGCATTCACGGGCACCCTGCCAAGCTCGAGGAGGAGTGAATTCCTAGGTCTGAGCTGCTGCCCTCCGGCTGGGGCTTTCGTCTTTTATGAACTACCGTGAGTTTTGTGAACTGCCCGCACTCACCGTCAACACTCCTAGAGCCACTCAAACTTTGGGGAAACGGGACATCATTGTCATGAACTTGTCTCAAAGAAGAGCTAGAGGGGCCAGGGGGCTGAGAGAACAGAAGGTGGGCGAGGGGACTCTCGTCACTCGACCATCATGTTGAGGATGATCTCGCAGGTCATGTCTTCACCCAGGGCCCTGCCGCCGGCTGCTGTTTCTTCACGGGGGACAGGAGCCACCTGGCCGGGGAGCGGGGCCCCGCTGGCAACGGAGACCTCTGCTGCAGCAGCCTCTGGGGGGACAGGGGAGTGGGCGTGTTAGGGACGTCTTCCAACCCACAGGCATCTCCTAACTCACCTGGTGCCAGCCCTGTGCCTGAGTCACAGTCCCTCAAGCTCAGAATGGTCACTGCAGGAGTGGGCAGTGGCCTCCCCGTGAGATGCCCATCTCCAGATAGGGGCACATGTGGGCATCACAGGGGGCGGGGGACAAATGGCTGCTGACCAGAGACGCTGCTGTACAGGATGTGGCTCAGAGACCAGTCCTGCCCCCTGCCTGCCCGTCTTACTGCAGAGCCCACAGCAGGACAAGGCCACAGGAAAGAGCCAGCTGCTGGCGGGCACATGTCCCTGGATCCGAGGACACCGAGGAGCCCGTCGGAGCCCTGCTAGGAACAGGCCACCACCTGCTCACAGAGCTCCCTGTAGGGTAGAGGGACAGTGGTGGCTGCAGGTCACAGGCCCCAGCCAGCCACTCCCCAGCGGCTGGGCCAGGAGCCGCGAATCCCCACCAACAGCATGTATGGCGGCAGCTTGCGGCTGCGGGAGGTGTGTCTGCCCCGGCATCGCGGGGTTGGGGAGGGCAGACGTGCCATGAGCCACAGCGAGAGCTGTCTCGAGAGCCCAGGTCACCAAGACCTGAAGTCAGGTGACGTCGTGCTTCTTGCTACCGTGAGCCAGGTCCCTTGTCTAAGTCCACACGTTGCTTTTAACAGCTGTCCCCTAACACGGAAAAGCCCCTCCTTAGCCATGTCAGAGCTTCCCGTCCCCGCCCTCCTGGAGCGTGGACCTTCAGGGCATGAGCACTCCCAGGTGCCCCTTTCCTGACCTGGACTGCGTGACTCCAGTTCCAAAGATGAGTGGAGGGAGGAGGGGGACAGTCCCTCTGTCCAGCTGGGCAAAGCTCCCCCTGGCGTCCGTGTCCAGGAAGCAGGTCTGAGCTCAGCTCCGCACCAACGAGGGCCCCTCCCCAGAGTCACCAGCTCACCTGCCAACGCTGCTGTGCTGTCCGACTCCTCTCCACAGCAAAAATGTCACCAACTTTGAAAAGGCAACCAAGCCATTCAGAATTTCAGTGAAGGTTACTCTAGTTCACGCAGATTTTTGCCCAAGGTTTTCAAGGGCTTAACAGATGACTGTTTCTTCTTTTGGGTACCAGGGATTGGCCCAGGGGCACTTCACCACTGGGCCACATCCCCAGCCCTTTTAAAAAAATTTAAATTCAGAGACAGGGCTTCGCTAAGTTGCTGAGGCTGGTTCTGAACTCGTGATCCTCCTGCCTCAGCCTCCTGAGCTGTGGGGATTACAGGCATGCACCACTGCGCCTCGGGATTTCACAGATAACTTTTAAAGGACATACTACATTAGGCGTGCAGAGGGAGAACTGCGGAGGAGCTGCTAGAGACCTGATTGGCAGGGAAGCCGTGTATTTCTATGGCTTTTTAGGGCGGGTCCCAAACTGCAGCTCAGGGTGGGTGATAGGCCTCTCTGCTCTGGAGGACTGTGAGTCGGATTTCAGCCTCCTCCCTGCAGGGGCCAGGTTGTGGGTCACTCTCCTACCAAGCAGGTGGAGAAAGAAAGGATGCCAGCTGGAGGCCCCAGGCAGTGCTACAGGAACAGACTGGACACGCTGCCCTGGAGGGGACCAGGGTCCACGTGGGAGCAGACACTCAGCACAGAGTCACACCAACGCAGGACGGTCCCGGGCTCCTGGGGAGCAAGGCTGGCCCTGCCCGGGGGGAAGACCTCAGGACCTGCCCGAGCGCAGCAGTCACAGGACCAGAGCGGGGAGGGCGGCCACTGCCCGGGCAGCAAAGGGTGATGGCCACGAGGGCTTGATCTTCACAACCCTGGGGGCCAAGGAGGGGCTGGGATGGGGTCGGGATGGGGCCTCGTGTGCACATTTGGAAGGTCTCCAGGTGGCTCAGCAGGGACACCGAGAGGCCATGTCTTGGGTCAGGTGGAGACAGATGGTCAGGGCTCTCGGGAGCTCAAGTCCCAGGCCAGGGGCCTCAGACATGTGGGCCAGCAGGAGCTGTCACACGAGGATCGGGTGGCACGCCCAGGTGTGCATGAGTGGGTGTTGGGGTGAGCAGCCTGCTGGTGGGTGCTGTTCCTCTCTGAGCACTGAGGAGAGCGCCTGCACCTGGTCCAGCGGCAGGGCGCTCCTGCAGGACACTGGGGCCTTCCGCCATGTGACATTCAACACCATCGCTGGTATGGAGACATCTGCAGGCCAGGCCAGGTCTGCCGCTGCTCACCCTTTCCTTCTGTTCTGACCCCGCGAGCACCGTGGGCAGCCCCGTGCCCTGAGCCCAAGGGGGAAGCCCTCAGAGCTGGCAGGTGATGGCAGGAAGTCTTCTGGGAATGGGGAGACACAGGATGCTGAGGAGCAGCCACCCGGCCCACCTGCCTGAGAAGAGGCCAGGAGCCCCCGCCCCGAGGAAGGGGGAGGGAGTCTGGGCTGGGGACAGCTGGACATTCACAGCCAGGCTGTGCTGCAGGACCTCAGCGTGGGGACCCTGGGGCCCAGCTGCAGCTTGCTTCCTGGACCAGGCAGGCTGGGCACCCACTCCTTCCTGCCTCAGTTCTGTCCCATGTGGGAGGGCAGACCCATGCAGGGCTGTGGTCAGCAGGAAGGAGGCTTGTGCAAGCCCTTGGTGGACGTGTGAATTCCAGAAGGGACAGTGCTCCAGGGGGCAGAGGAGCCACTCTGGGGAGTGCCTATGAGGCTAGCCAGGGTGCTCCACTGGGGCCCCTCTGTCTGCCAGGACCCCACCCGGCAGGACCTGGATTCCAGGCCTGGAGCAGGCGGCTGTGGAGTTCTGCAGGTGGGTAAGAGGCGGACGAGGGTAGGAGCTCCGTGGGCTGCTCTGAGAGGCCCAGAACCCACCCTGCACAAAGCCTGGAAGGGTAAGGACTGCGCACACCTGTTCAGCGGCAGTCTCCCGAAACGGTGGATAAACGTTTAGTACAAGTATATCCCAAGTAGCGTGTGGGGCATACTTGTGCTGAGCAATGATTCACGGCTCATCTGCAGTTTGAATTGCCTGGGCACCAGCTATGTGATCCCGCAAGTCTGAAGGGAGGAAGGGTGGCGCCACCCCCGATGGGGACACCCACCCGTCAAGGATGGAGGCTGGAGTCACAATGCAGGACGTTTCGAGGGGAATGTTTGGGGGGAAGGCCACCTGCTCCGGGTCCTCTTCTCAGCTCTAAGGTTCAACCAGGAAAGGCGTGCAGAGGGTGACAGCCACCTGCACAGGGGCCAGTCTAGCCTGTGACTACCCTCACCTGGACAGAGGGCAGGAGGAGGGTGAGGACCCCCAGATGAGGCCATGCTGGGCTTCCCCACAGACCTTCCATCTGAAGACAAGTGTCTTTACAGGAGAAGACACAGGCCTAGAGGGCAGAAGGCCACCTGAGGAGGAGGCCACCGGCCAGGGGATGCTGGCAGCCACCAGAGGCCGCAGAGGCAGGAGGGACTGTTGTCTGCAGCCCTGAGGGACATGCTCTGCCCATGCCTGTGTGGGGCCTCTGGCCTCTGCAGCTGGCACCATCCTCGGCCACTCTGAGCTCATTTATCACAGGAGCCCCAGGACAGCCCTGGCGGGCACGGGTGACAGTGCTGTGACCAGAGTCTCCGGGGTACTGAGGGTCAGTGCGGCTGTCTTTCAGCCTCACAGGCAAGCTTGGAAGGGCCTAAGTGGTGACCGTGCTGCTGTCGGGGCTCTGGCACACCCGGCCCTTCTAGCCCCCACCCCCCCAGCAGAACCAGGACACCCTCCCTGCGCAACCATCAGAACGTGCCCACCGTGGCCAGAGGCAGCAGCCAGGAGCCCCTCCATCTGAGTGGACAGGCTGTTTCTAGCCATGTCCCCTGCAGTGACCCTCAGTTCAGAGAGGTTTACAGGAAAATCACCGTCCCACGGAAAACGAGTCTGTATAAAGGAGGTACCGTCATCCTTTCCTGCTTCCTTGGGGACTGTCGGCCGCCTCTTCCTCACCCGTCTTCCTTTCCCCGAGGTGGCCGTCCTCTCCTGGCCCGAGTCACACTTCTCTGCGTGTCTGTGCATGTTGCTCTGCGGGAGAGATGAAGGCACCGTGAGGCCGTGTCCCCGGCTGCATTCACCACCAGCTGGAGGACGAGCCTCGGCAAGTCAGCAGGCAACGGGCACCCCCAGGACCCTGGACAGGAAAGACGACGTGCTCACAGTGACCCTTCCTGCTGAGCCGGCCTGGCCGAGCTCGCTGGCCTAGATTCTTTTTATATCAGGAGTCAGTGAGACGGCAGCATCAGCTCTCCTGGAAGCCGCTCCTCTCTAAGTTGAGGACTGATGACCACAGATTCCTGTCGATTTTACACAACTGGGGGCCAGGCTGTCCTGCCAGCTTCTCTCCTGGACCTACTGGGCATGAGGACACAGGTGGCTACGGATGAAAGTGTACCTGACACTCAAAATTGGAAACAAAGTCAGGTATTGCCCAGTCAAGCCCGAGAGCGACACATTCTTAGTTAATGAACACAGAGGATGACTTAAAATCAGCTAGAAAATTGTCACTATTTCTAAAGTTCACATGCAAACGTGGAAGCTGGTTGTCTTGAATTTGCTGATCACATGAAACGCCCCACCTCGCCTCCGCCCCGACGTGGACCTGCTGCCAGAAGCATCCTGCTCTATGGCAGGAGAGCACACTAAGAGGAGGCCCGGGAGGTCCCTTCGGCTCCTCCCGGTTGGGCTCGGCCAGCGGGGTTGGCACACTCTGACCAGTGGTCCCATCTGCCCCCCCCCACCTATTTCTGTCAGAGTGCAGCTGTGTCTGTCACTCACTGCCCACAGTGGCAGCGGCGGTGGTGGCCAGTGTGACGCTGTGGCAGGCCGTTCCCTGGTTGATAAGGTGCTCAGGAGCGCTCCGCCCGCCTTTTGGGAGGCCAAAGATTCTTTGAAAATGAGACAAAAGCAAAGGTGCTTTCCCAGCAAGGCCCCTGGACCTGCAAGCGACCTCCTGAGATGCGGGGCCGGGCGGCGGCTCTGCACCCACGGCTCAGCCAGCTCTGAGCAGCAGCTGGGGGGACGCTCTCAGCCTGGCCCGAGGGGTGGGGGTCAGGCTCAGACCTGTGCCTGAGAGAGCACTGAACCCAGCCAGGAGCCACCAGCATCCACAGGTCCAGGGTCCTCACTGGGGAGGACAGGTCTGGGACATTCTGGCCCCCGACACCATCACTGTGACTGTGTCCGTGAACAGAAGTCTGTGAATGATTTAATTATTAAAAATCACTTTGGATTCCGGTTTCCAATACGCTTTCTCTTACGTTTAACAGCTTTGCGGAGATAAAATCCACAGGCCGCGTGACTTGTCCACTTAGAACGCAGACGCTGTAGTTCACTCACAGAGGCCACCGCAGGCGACTTCAGGGCCTCTCACCACCCCCAGGAAGCCCCGCACCCACGCGGCCCCTCAGCGCTCAGCGGCCATGGGTCTACTTTCTGCGTCTGTGGATTTGCCACCCCAGACAATTCACCCGGAGGACCGTGCCCCAGCGGCTCTGACCTGGCTTCTGTCAGGGCTCCTCACACCATAGCTGGTGCCCACCCTCCGCTCTGCCCCTAGTTGAGGACAGGCGACCTCTTCCAGCACAGCAGCTTTGGCTGCTGGACACTCGAGGGGACTCCACTTGGGGCTACGAACTCGGGCCCTCTGGGGCTGGCGGTTCTCTTGGGCACTGCATCACGTGGTAACTCCGTGTGTCACTGGCAGGGACCTGCCTCTGTCCAGGGTGGCTCCCCCATGCTGCAACCCACTGGCCACACAAGAGAGTCCTGTCCCCCACCTTCACCCACTGCATCCCTGCCGCCTGGCTGAGGGCCTCCCCTGGGTGGTCCTGGTGGCTTCTCACTGTGCTCGGACTTTCCCTGATGCTTTCCACGTATCTACAGGTGATCTGCATGGCTCCTCTGCAAAAAAGTCTGTTCAGATACTTTAAATTTGGGTTCTGCCTGTTTTTAGCGAGGTATCTGTCTCCTCGAGTTGGAGGGGCTCTTCAGATATTCTAGATACAAGCCCCGATGAGCCTCCTGCGTGGAAGACAGACACTGTCTGACGCCATGTTCCCTGGGACCATGTGGCTGATGCCCCTTTCCTGCCGTCCTGCTCACACCTGGGGCACCCAGGGCCATTCTGCTCTGGAGAATGCTGCTCTCGGGCACTCGGTGTGGGCGATGCCACCTGTACCACCACCACTACTTTCATTTGAAATCCTACACAAACAGGGTTGAGGTTCCAGAACTATCCACTGCACTGCTCAGAAAAACACAGCTACACGGCTATTTTCACAGAAAAGACAGAGTTTCCCTATAAAACCGTCAAATACAGATAACCGAGAGCCCACCAAACCTGGGCCGGAGCACATGTCCTCCAGGGACCTCGCTGGCCACCTGTGCTGGTTTTAAAACCCTGCCCACTCACCCACAGTCCTGTTCTCACAGAGGACTGTGCACCCCTCATGGGCTGCTGCACTCAGTGACTCACTTCTGATGAAGGGACTCGTGTCACCCGAGACGAGGCGGTGACAGGTACTGGCCTCCCTCCTGTTCCCCCACGTGCCCTGGGCAGGGAGGACGCAGTGGCCCTATGCAGCTGAGGCCGGCAGCAGGGGGAGCCGTGGTGGAAGTGGGTCCCCCGCCCGACCCACCTGCCGGCAGCCTCAGGCGACCCCGAGCCAGACCCAGCAGAGGAGCCTGTCCCCGGCGACTGACCCACAGAACCCAAGATGACGAACGTTCGCCGTCTTAAGCCACAAGTTCTGGGGTGACTTGTTATGAAGAAACAGAGGAACACAGCACCCGAGGGAACGACAGGAAGCGCGAGTCTGTCTCCCAGCAGGGCACCCGGCGCGCTCCACGGCACCTGAGAAATGCCCAGAGCCACATCCCTCTGTGAGGTGGCCTCAATCTAGTTCTCCGGGGTAATTTAAAAACAACCCTCAAAAGCTGAGGCCCTTTCGGGAGTCTGAGAACTCCCCCAAACCACCAGCTAGGCGTGTTGCGAGGGACTGCCTGCTTTGGGGGAAAGGGACCACCTGTTGGTGAGATCTGACCTCCCAAGGTGACAGAGGCTGCGGTGTCCACGCCTGGCTGGTGGTGGACACTAGCCTGAGCCTGCGTCCTCCCGGGCTCACGGCGCTGCGAGCTTACCCAGCGGGAGAAGCCCTTGCCGCACTTGGGGCACTTGTGCACCCTGGGGATGAAATCCGAGTCGTGGTACTTCCGGAAGTGGACGTTGAGAAGCTGCTTCTGCCGGAAGCGCTTGTCGCAGGAAAGGCACTCGAAGGGCTTCTCCCCCGTGTGGGTGCGGACGTGGACGGTCATGTGGCGCTCCTAGGGCAAGGAGAAGCAGGGCTCAGCTGGTGAAAGGCCTCCACCCACCACCAGCCCTGCTTCCCCACTCCCAGCAGAAGGGCCACCAAACCAGCAAGACTGCTGGCACGCTGTGGGCACAGTGCCACCGTCCCGCCCCGCCACGGGGTTGGTGCTCTAGTCAGCTCTGTGTGGGCTCCGCGTCCACCCTGGGGGTGAGTGGTGAGATGATGGCCCCACGTGCCCTGGGATCTACAGAGTCCCCTGTAGTGACCCGCAGACAGCACTGCAGACCCAGGTTCACAGGCAGTGGACCTGCGGCATGGGAAGTACCGTGTGTCTGAACCCCTGCCCACCTACTGCCCAACAGTGCCCCTGCTAGACCCTGCAGAGCTCGACCGCAGGTCTTCACGCTGGTCTTAAAGCATGACAGTGGGAATAACTGTCCTTAGGGAAGAAAGAACTAGCTGTTTCAAAAATAAAACCGCAGAAGGGACTTGGGAGACAGGCACGAGTCACGCCAAGCACATCCCGTTGGTATCACAGTGGCACACGCCTGTGACCACGGCAGCTCGGGAGGCTGAGGCAGAGGGGATTTTGAAAAGTAAAAATAAAATCAATTCACTAAAAAATAACAAACCAACTACTCGTTAACATATTTCTGTAGAAATATATATTTCTCAAAGCAAAACAGAAATAGTACTAATGTCTGTCTAACAGTCTAGGTTGCTCACTGCAATACTTGGGACAATCAGAAATGCAAAACTATTCATGGTTTATCTGAAATTCAAATTTAACTGTCTGGTGTTTTTATTTGCTGAATCTGACAATCTTCCAAAGAATTTAGGTGGAATCCTATCCCTGATTCTACCCTGATGTGTGTGGAAGTAACTGAGGAAATCATAGATATGTAGTTAGAAAAGGAAGCAGAATTTTAATAGGTTTTTTTTTTTCAAATAAGTGTGGATATTGCTCTTTGATACTATACCCCAAATCAATAAAGGGTGTTTCCTAGCTGGGCACAGTGGCACACGCCTGTGATCCCAGTGGCTGGGGAGGTTAATGCAGGAGGATCCTGAGTTCAAAGCCAGCCTCAGCAATGGCGAGGTGCTAAGCAACTCAGCGAGACCCTGTCTCTAAATAAAATACAAAATAGGCTGGGGATGTGGCTCAGTGGTTGAGTGCCCCTGAGTTCAATCCCCAGTACCCCCCCCCCAAAAAAAAAAAATGGTGTTTCTTCAAGTTCAGTTGCAGTGGAACCTGTGTGCCTGTCAACTTTCTGTCCCGTTGTCCTGAAAACCCTTTCGTCTACACTGTGCTCTGGACCTTCTGTCCATGCGTGATTCTGTAACACCTTGGACTAGTTATTTGGAAAGTATCAGTGTACTGGGCTTTGGCGATTCTGTAAAGTTGACACATTTCATTGCAAGATTAAAAGAACAAAATCAAGTGCACTTTCTCAGTTCACCCTGATCCTACAGACAGAGCCTCCGAGGACCAGCAGGCTGCGCAGCTCACAGTGGTAAGCAGACCCTCCAGACACGGCTTGTCTTTCTAGAGGTGAAATTCCACCACTGGTCACATGCTCCCCTTCAGGGACAGGTAAGTGCCTCCAACTGCATGCAGAGTTCATCCAGCACCTGCTCTTCCAGGTGGGGGCCAAGGTCAGGGGAGGTGGTCAGGGCAGCTGGCGGCTCCTGCCACCCCCGCGGGCTCTTCCCGCACGTGCTCTGTGGGAGGGGTGCTGTGCAACTCCCCCCTTGGCCCGCGACACGGAGCACTGAGTTTGGGCTCAAGCTCCGCTTGTTCATGACTTCTGCCACATCCCGAGGACGTGCCTAAGTGAGAGGGCCCCGTGTTTGCTGTTGGTGCCCCGAGGCTATCACAGTGACCCACAGGCCCGTGGGGTCACTGCTCTGGGCCAGGCACCACCACGGCCCTGGCACCTAGTGCAAATGCCACACAGCTCAAAGGGACGTGTTGGCATTCTTATGACAGTGGCTTGGCTGGGGTGGGCCCCTGACAGGTCCCAGGGGCCGTGGGCTGCTGCTTGACACTGGCTTCTGGCCACTCTGGATGTGCCAGGCTCCTTCAGCAGTTTCCCAGCGAGAGAAGCCGGCTCCGCCCTCCTCCTGGGCCCCGCGGCGCCACCTCCCTGCCACCCAGGGGCACCAGTGCGGTACCTGTTTGCAGGCGTAGCTGCAGTGCTGGCACCTGAACCTCTTCTCGTTCCTGTGGGTCTTCTGGTGCTGAATGAGGGCATAGCGCTCGTGGAACCCGGCGGAGCAGTAGCGGCACCTCATCTCTGTGGCCTTGTAGGTGTGCAGGTTGCGCAAGTGCACACCTGAAAGAGTCACGGACACAGCCGCCCCAGACTGTCACCTCCTGTCAGGTGCTGACCTCTGACTTCCCTGGTGGGGCGGGTGGACTGTCTTGTGCACTGGAGGGTGTTCATCAGCCTCCTGCCTCCACCTGCCAGACACCAGCAGCCTCCCTGCCTCCACTGTGACAACCCAAATGCCTCCAGATAGTGCCCCGCATCCCCGGGTGCCCTGTTCCCAGCTGAGAGCTGCTGCTGTCAAGGAGCAGCTATGGGACCTTCATCTAACCCCCTCCAGTGTGGGTTAGGGTCTCATGAGGCTGGTCCTGCGGGAGCCAGAGTGTCCCTTTAACCAAGCTCCTGAGAACTGTCCCATGGTGGGGGGCGGTCTCAGGATAACTAAGGCTCGCACATCATGAAGACAGCCCCTCTGCACTCGGACTCAACAATCCTGCAGAGAGTCAGGCCCTGTCTTCCTCACATCCAGAGTGACCTGGGGCACACACACTGTCTGGCCACGCTCCAGAGCAATCTCTGCTCGACTAAGTCTCAGGGTGGCGTTTCTGTCACCGTGGGAAAGGCTGAACCAGAGCAGACAGCTGTGGCAGAGGGCACCCTGCGAGGTCCGACCCGGACATCTCCAAAGTGGTTTCTCATGGTGGATGGAGCCTCCTGGGGTACGTGGAACGTGTCACCCACAGGCATGTGACATAACTGTGCTCCTCTGCCACACTTTCTGTGCCACACACTTTCTGTGTCAGAAAGCCGTTTAGCCTCTCTCAGCAACGGGCTCGTGATCCTGGGTTCCTACCAAGTCCCACTGGGCTGTATTTGGGGTGAGTCGAGATCGACAGAATGTTCCAGATGCAAAACAAAAGATCTGTCAAACACTTCTACTATTTTGGGGGAACTATTTCAAAACATTTTATCTCACCTCTAGAATTCCTCAGAGCAAACTGCGGAATTTTTATCTTTGCCAATGCATTTTGAGTGTCATCACGTCATGAATTTGGGAAAGAGAAAAAAGGCCACGGGAAGGGAGGCCAAGGAGCCAGGAGACAGGCTCTCGGTCTCCTCTCCCACCCAGTCCCCAGGCTGAATGCTGGTGGCCCTCCCCGCAGGCACGCAAAACCCAGGTCCCTGGTGTGCACTCTCCCAGTGTCTGTCCTGTCTTGTGGTGTCCACGAAGCTCAGCAGAGGAGTGTGGCCTTTGTGTCAGAGTCGCCCTAGTGAAGTGTTTCCCCTGAAGGGAGCCTTCTGTGCCCTTGATGCCCGGCTGGCCCCCAACTTGGGGAGAGAACACCCACAGAGCTAGAGTGACAGCCTACCGGCCCTAGCACCAGGATCAGGGGACTCTGGGGCAGGCCGCTCTAGGTCTCTGAGCCACAGTGTCTTCCTCCCTAAGAGCAGGTCAACGTGGACTAAAGTATCACTTGAGACCCTGGTTTGGGGCCCACCTTGTGTGGACAGGCCTAGCTTGGAAACCTGCCGAGGCTGCACTTAAGGAACCTGCCACCAGATGGCGCCGCAAGACCTCTGGAAAAAAACTGGTCCCTGGACAAGACGCTGGGCAGGCTCCAGACAGGTCTGCCTTTGCCAGCTGTGCTCAGAGGGGGCCGCCAGCGCCATGCTGGGAGGGAGGGTCAGACACTCACGCAGGTCGCTCTTCCGCGCGATGATGGTGGCACAGTGGGGACACTGGTACTTGGGCACGTTCTCGCTGTGCTTCTGCAGCACGTGGATCTTCATGGTCCCGCTCTGGGTGAACCGGGCATGACAGACGTGGCACTCGTAGGGCTTCTCACCTACGACAGGAACAGAACCACCCCCTGGAGTGCCGGTCACCCCTCTAAAGGACGCCTGTTGCCTGCAGCTTCCCCACCAATCCCTTTCTCACAGGTGTGAGCCCCTAAATCAAGCCAGACAGCGTCCACTGGGCCTAGCTGTGTCCATGTGGCCCAGACCCGGAGGCTACTGGCCAGCTCAGGTGGGCGCACGGCTATCATCCTCAGGGTCATAAAAGAACACACACATTGTTCAGAAAACTCAACAGCGTGTCCACCGCGGGGCCGGCACACCTGTTATATGTTTGGCCTTAAAGCTGAAGGATGGGTTAAGGGGTGGACTTTGAGGCACCTGAACAACCCACAGGAACAAATTCTAGGGGGACTTGCCACAGTGGACACAGCGGGCGCTTCTGTGCCTCCCCTTCAACACTCAACACAGATCAAAAGCCCCGTGGCCACAGAAATCCACGTTCTAAAGAAGTTGGACATGGCCACGGGGTGGGCCTCACCCGAGTGTGTGCGCATGTGGCGCTTCAGCTTGTAGGAGTCCTTGCTGGCGTAGCTGCACAGGCGGCACTGGAAGGGGCGCTCCCCCGTGTGCGAGCGGATGTGGCGCTTCAGCTTGCTGGCCTGGAGCAAAGGGAAGGCTGCTGAGAAACGGGAACTCAGCCAGCCAGCTTACAGCACAGACCTCAGGGAACCAGGCCTTAGCACCAGAGCCCATGTCCCCAAAAGTATCAAACAGCCTTGCCTTTGGCATTTGGTTGTGGGCACTTTCCATTCGAGGTGTGAGACTTTTGGGGACAGACAGTTGGAGGCACTTTGCTTTTCAACCTCACTCTACAAAGGAACACTGGGAACCTCACCAATCAGTGCCACGTGGGTTTATTTCCAAGGCCACTGATGCTCACAGTAGCACAAGTGTAGGATGTGTGTTACTGATTTCTTTTTAAGAAAATAAATCGGAATTTGATGAATTAGTTAAATAGCAAACACGAAACCCCCCATTTGGTCATTTCTGGTCGCCTGCTTTACCTCCTTCTAGAACTGTTCTTATGCTGTGTTCCTTGTGTGTTCTGCAGGAGACAGAGGTGGTCACCCACAAGGCCCACAGCATCCTGCTTATCATCACCCAGGGCTACACTCATCTGCTTCCAAGTGAAAGGTATGCACAGGCCAGGAGAACCTTCAAGAACAGGGGAAGTGTAGGATGGAAAACGAACCAAACTGAACGACTTAGCTTAATTATCCAGGAGAAGAGTGGATATCTCTGAGCATTTTAGAAAGCAAAGCAAAAAGAATTTTAAAAATCACAGCATGAAGGTTTGAGTCAGACAAGTGGACTGACTGGTGGAGGAAGGCTGGGCGCCATGTCTCTAAATGACTTTTCAAGGTAGGAAGGGCCAGAGGACCTCAAAGGCCTTCCAAAACAGTGCATCCCTCACACCCGGCCGGCCAGTGTGCACAGGGATGGAGCCTCCCCACCCTAACGCAGACCAGCAGGCACCATCTGGAAAGGGCTCCGAGGAGCAGAGAGCAGCAGCATCCCGGTGGCCAGGCAGCATGGAGGCTCTGGAGCTGGAAGCTCATGCCCAGAACCCACCAGGCAACAAGACTCCATCCCCAGCTCAGGGTCCTCCGGCACCTCTGGGCTTTGAAACCTCGTTCTGTGTGTGCGTCCCATGTCACAACCTTTAGCTCACATGACAGCGAGTCTTTAGAGAGAGCAAGAGCAGGCAGAAATGCCTGGAATCAGTTCCCTCCCTTGTGAAACGCTCTTGCCCCATGATTGGATCTCCACACTAGCTGTCCCCTTTAGCTCAGTTCCAACTGACCAGGCCCAGCCAGGACCCAGCATGCTCCTGAACAGAGCAGGTCCCGAAATTTAACTGACTTTGAAAAGTAAATGCGGTTGCGTCTGCTAAACCTGCTATAGGTCTCTATAAAACCGCCTCCTTGAATGACCTTGAAAATAACAGGTTTGGAAAGGGCACTCCCTCTGTAATTAAGAGTGGAAAAGGCTGTGATTACATCTTCCAGCACGTTGCTTTGCATCTGAGGCAGGGACACTGAGGTCAGCTCAAAAACTTTAGCAAAAATTCAGATGGAGTGGGTCTTAGTCCAGTGGGGGAGCAAGCACGGGCCCCGCATGTGCAAGGCCCTGGGCTTAATCCCTCAGAACTGCCAAAAAAAAAAAATTTAGATTGGATCTGTGTTTTATGTTAGAGCAAATACATTTCAATTTTGTAGCACCGAAAATGACATATTAGGTAGACCTTTCCAGCAAATCCGAGAATTATTTCTTGACCACAGTAATTTCATTTGTGATTTGTATAACTTCAAGTATTATTTTCACTGATGAGTAATCAAAGAGGGAAGGAAATCCAATTCTCTGTGTTTTGTTTAGAAAACAAGGTGCGTAGTACTCCCTGCATGAATCTGAAGCAAGCCCCGTCTTCAGGAAAACCTCTCCTGGGCTGGGTCCTCCCAGTGGCCCCGGGGTTGGCGCTGGCTGAGGCAATGGGCGGGAGGGGACCTACCTCCACGCTCGCGTATTTGCACAAGGAGCAGCTGAAGGGCTTCTCGTGGGTGTGTCTGTAGCGCCTGTGCCGGACGAGCTCCCCGCTGGTCACAAAGGCCATGTCGCAGTCCCCACACTTGTAGGGCCTGGTTCCTACAAAATCACAGTGTTCACACCTTAACAAGATGCAACCACAAAATGTCCCAGGATTTCATAACTTCTAAATTACACTCAAACTCAAAATACTTCAAAAATTAAGGAGGAGCTCTTTAGGCTATAAATATCACAGACGTCTGTGGGAGAAATCTTGGTAACATTCAGTGCTTTTAACTTTAGTGCAAGAACAACCGGAACCAGCAGAACTGAAGTACAAAACAACCCGCGACCGTAGCCCACGACCCTGGGAGGACACTGCAGGACGGCAGGTGGTAGGAGCCCTGCGCACACTGCACCTCGGTCACAGCTATGGAAGGTTTAATGCACAAGTTAGAGATGAACTAACGACGGCTGAGACCAACTATAACTAATAATAAAATAGAGTTATAAGAACACACTGGGATAAAAGTTACTTGAAACCTATGAACTGTTTATTTCTGGAATGTTCCATTTAGCAGTCTGGACTGCAGGTGACCATAGGGCACTGAAGCCACAGAGAGTGAAGAAGGGTAGGAAAAGCCCCTTCTCCTTCTGCATGAGCCTCGGCCTGCCCCAGGGACAGCCCCCGGGGCCACTGCACCTGTGTGGGTGTTGACGTGGTTCCGCAGCAGAGTGACGGTGCGGAACGCCTTCAAGCAAAGGTGGCACATGTGAGGCTTCTCGCTGGTGTGGGTTTTCATGTGACGATTGAAACTCGAGACTCTAGAGGAGGTGAACATGCAGACGCTGCAGCGGAAGGTCCGGAAGGTCCGCTTGGCTGCTGTGGGGAGACAAGAGAAAGCACATGGTCACCGGAGTCTTCCTTTAGCAGCCCCAGGGCTATTGAAACACATCAGAGCAGGCAGCAGTTTAGGAGCCAGCGGGAGCAGCTAGGGACGCAAAAAGTGCCCCTGGACTCACATTTGCAGTTACAAACCGCTGATGGCATTTCAGTCCAAATGCATGATACCAGTACCAGAGAGAGAGCAACGCCAGCCTCATTCACAAAAATTACAATTATTTTATTTGAGCTGGCCAGTGGCTTCCTAAAGACTTGTCTTTACCTCCCTAATCTGGAATCACCCAGTGCAAAAGAGGCTACCTGGGGTGGTGTGGGAGGAGGACATTTTTTTAAAACATTCCTGAACAACAGGCAGCAGGGGAAAGCAGCTCTGGGGAACAGGCTGAGGGATGAGGTGTTTTGGGGACACAGGATTTGAAGAGCTCCAACATGTCCCTGGGAATAAAGAAGGCCATGCACGGGCCTGAGGTTGTGGCTCAGTGGTAGAGCACTTGCCTCACATGTGTGAGGCCCTGGGCTCCTTCCTCAGCACCACATAAAAACAAATAAATAAATTAAGTAAAGGTTTTGCGTCCAACTACAACTAAAAAAATAAATATTTTGTTTTAATAAAAGGTGGCCACACATGTGCCTAGGGTTTATACCTGACTGGACAAGGCTCTCAGCACTCAGCCCTGGCTGACCTTGATGTCCTTGGAAGCGGGAAGTGAAGGCTGAGGCAGAGCTGTCAATCACCTGGGTGAACACTGGGATGGCCAGGCCCAGCACACACATGTTCTTCAGCAAGACTCAAACAGATTTCATTTTATTTTTTGGTTTCAGGTGTTGAAGGAAATCCTTGCCCAATCATTAGCAGAGGGTTGCAGCAGGCACACAAAGCAAAGAATAGACGTTTTACAAAGTTCAGAAAAATTACCAGCCCAGGAAATACAAGGAGAAGCAACCAACAGCCTTGGGGAGGGAAAGAATGTGATTTACAGAGTTGCCCCCTTAAGAAAGCATGCGTGGTTCTCAGCAAAGCAAGACAAGGTATGTCCAGAAATAGGGAAATACGATGATTCATAAGATAAAAAGCTGGAAAGAAACCGCACTGGAGGAAGTTCAGACACCTGACGTACCAAAGACTTTGAATCAATGATTTTAAGTATGTTCAAAGACCTAAATAAACGGTGTGTAAAAAGCTGAAAGAAACCATGGAAATGGTATCTCGCCAAATTGAGAATATCAATAAAAAGATTAAACTTCAAAAAAAAAATAGAAATCCTAGAATGTAAAAATACAAAAACTGAAATGAAAAATACACTAAAGGGTCCCAATGGCAATTCCAAGCAGAAAGGAGAATGAATCAGTGAATCTGAAGAGAGGGCAAGTGAGATTACTGTTTGGAAATAGAAATAAAAAGGAATGAAGAAAGTAAGCAGAGCCTGAGAGACCTGTGGGACATCCTCAATTGTACTAAGACATCCAGGAAGCAAGGGGAAAAAGTTTATTTGCAAAAATAACTGCAGAAAACTTCCCAAATGTGACGAGAAACTCTACACACTGAGGAGCCTGCTGAACCACACCCAGGGTAAACTCAGAGAGATCCGCATCAAGACGCTGGAGTCAAACTGAAAGACAGAGGCAGTCTGGAAAGCAGAACCTGAGATGAGACTCCTCACCACACGGAGGCTGGACAAGATGAGCGGCTGACCACCACTGGAATCATGGAGGCTGGAAGGCAGTGGAACGAGTGGTCAGGAGCTGAAAGGGAAACCGGCAATTCCACAGTGGGCAAGAGCATCCTTCAGCACTGAAGGAGACATTCAGACCCTCCCAGCTAGACAGAAGCTGAGCAAGTCTGCAACGGGCAGACTGTCCTATAAACACTGCTCCGGAGACTCCACAGGCTGAACAGAAGGACACTGGATATACCTCGAATCCACAACAACACAGGCTCACTAGAAATGCCATCCTCTTACGTGTGACTCCTCTTTCTCCCTGTTGGTCTAAAAGAGAACAGCATAAAACAGTGTCATGTATCTGTGTTAATGGGCACACAATATATAACGTTGTTCTGGGAAAATAACGGTACGGAGGAGTGGAAAGTAAAATTACTGAAAAATGATGTTTCTAAAAATGTACTGTTGAAAGGAAAGTGGCAATAACTTGAATTAGATTGCTATAATTGATATGTTAAATGCAAAACCAATGAAAATGAATCAAAAAACATATTTAAATAAAGGCACAGTAGAAAATAGTTACTCAACATGAAGGAAAGTAGCCATAGAAGAACAGAGGGGAAAAATATGACAGTTCAAAAAAATTGAGCTGGGTACAATGGCACACACCTGTAATCCTAGTGACTTGGGAGGCTGAGGCAGGAGGATCACAAGTTCAAAGCCAGCCTCAGCAATTTAGCGAGGCCTGAGGTAACTTAGCAAGACTCTGTCTTAATTTAAAACATAAAAAGGGCTGGGAGTGTGTGGCTTTGTGGTTAAACACCCCTGGGTTAAATTCCTACTACCAAAAGAAAAAAAAGAAAGAAAAAGAAACAGAAAAAAAATTCCTTCCTTATCAGTAAGTAGATCAAATTATCCAATTAAAAGGCAGATATTTGCAAAAAAGGACAAAAAACATGGTCCAACCACTTGCCTTCTGCACAAAACTTGTTTTATATTCAAAGGCACAACAAGGCTGACAGTAATAAAGGGAAGGTGTGTGGGCAGAACCACCAAAGGAGGACTGGGGTGGTGACACAGACATCAGACAATACTGACTGGTGTCAGTCAAAAATGACATCCCATAAGGTTAAAGGGTCATCCGTCATAAAGACAGGACAGTTACAAACCACATGCACTTAGCTGAAACTAGAAACAGCTCATGATAGCTGGAGACCTCGACGCCACCCTTTAAACTACAGACGATGCAGATCAGCAAGGAAACGGAAGACTTCAGCAGCACCATAGCCAAGCAGGCATGACCGACAGCTACGCAACACTGCACAGCAGCAGCTCTGCATCTCCCAGGAGCACCCCAGGCGGCTCTGGGCTGAGCAAACGGCAGGCCACAATACAAGGCTGGATGAACTCTTTAAAAGGCAGAAATCTTAACAGAGTATGCCCTCAGACCATAAGGGAATAGAATTCAAAACCCATGCTAAGGGGAATTCATGAATATGTGGAAGTTCAGCAACACGCTCCTAAGGCCAATGGGTCAAAGAAGAAATCACAGGAAGATCAAAAAATACTCTACATTAAACAAAAGGGAAATGGAAGAGACCAAGGCTCACAAGATGGACCTAAAGCAGGGCTCAGAGGGAGAATTTCAGTGGTGAACACTGACACTGTAAAAAAGAAAATTTTAAAATCAGTAACCTAACTTTATACCTTGAAAAACAAGAAAAAGAAGATAAATCTAAGCCCAAAGCTAGTAGAAAGAAATAATAAAGAGAGTGGTGAAACATTAAACAGAAAACAGAGAAAACCAACTGAAATTAAAGGTGGTTTTTTTGAAATCACCCTGACAAACCATTACCTAGACTCTGAACCAAGGAGGGGGGGAAACACTCAAATTAAAGTCAGAAGGAAGGTGGGGCCATTACTAGCAATCTGCAGAAGTACACAGGAGCATGAGAACACTGTGGACAAATGGGATAGCCCAGACGAAGTGGAAACTTCTGAGGAGCACACAAATGACCAGAACTGACCAAGGAGAAACAGAAAATCTGCACAGACATACAGGAGTAAAGCGATGGGTCCAGCCAGGCTCAGTGGGCACACCCCCATCCCAGCGATTCCAGAGCCTGGGGCAGGAGGATTACAAGTTCAAAGCCAGCTCTGGCAACTCAGCCAAACCTTTCTCAAAATAAAACATTTTTACAAAGGGCCGGGGAGGCATGTAGTTCAGTGGTAGAGCACCCCTGGGTTCAATCCCCAGCACTGCCAAAAAAGAAACACAGGAAAGAGGGAGAAAGAGAGAGAAGAGAGAGACAGAGATACTGACTTGGTCACAAGCTTCCCACAAAGACCATCCCAGGACAAGACCAGTGCGCTGATTAACTCTAGCGACTATCTGAACATGGACCCCACCCAGCCTCAAACTTCTCTCCCCAACTATCCCCAGAGGCCAGCATCACTCTGATGGGAAAGCAGACAAAGGCATCCCAAGAAACCCACAAAGCAAGCCCCCTTCTAACTAAACGTCCAATACAACACTAGCACATCGTGTCAGCAATGGCGAGGACGGGGCGCCAGGCCAGGTGGGACCTGCCCAAGAACAGAGGGCTGTTCAAGGTACAGATCACTCAGTATAGCACCCACGTTACAGGATGAAGGAGACAACTGCACACGGGCATCTCAGCAGTCTCACAGAACCCAATGCCCTTCTCTTGACAAAGTACTCAAGGGGCTTGAAATAGAAGGTGTGTGGGTTGAACTGTAACTGTCCCCTGCCCCCAAATAGGTGTGTGTGAGCTTGTCCTTATTTGCAAATAGTATCTTTGCAAATGGAGTCAGGTTAAGATGAGGTCCTATTGGATGAAGGCAGGTCCTGATCCGATATGACTGGTGTCCTTCCAAGAAGAGGAAAGGAGACAGGAGGGTCCTGGACAACTCCAGGGACAGCGGGGGCAGAGACGGGCATGTGGCACCGACAAGCCAAGGACAGCCATGGCTGCTGGCAGCCCTAGAGGCTGAGAGGCCTGGAACGTATGGTTCCACAGAGTCTTCCTGGGGAGCATGGTTTCCCAAAAACTAGATTTCAGACTCCTAGCCCAGCACTGTGGAAGATGACATTTCTGTTGCTTTGAGCCACCTAGTTTGTGGTGTTTGGCTACAGCAGCCCTGGAAAACTAACATGGGAAGGAGCCCACTGAGAAATGAGCAATCCATCCCCGAAGACACACCACGGGCAACAAGGGTGTGAGAAGCACTCGTCATCTGTCATTAGAGAAATGTCAATCACCCACAAGATGGCCGTAACTTAAAAGCCACATGGGAAGTAAGTGTTAGAGGGGCCGAGGAGAGGCTAGAGCCCCACCACCCTGCTGAGGATGTAGATGGCTGCAGCTGCTGTGGAAGTGTGGAAGGGCCGCAAGAAGCCAAGCACCGGGCATCTGCATGACCCAGCACCTCCACTCCTAAGTGTGCACCTCCAAATTGAAAACAGGTGTTCAAATCAAACCTTGGGTGTGAACGGTCACAGCAGCACCATTTGTACTAGTGAAAAGGTAGAAACAACCCATGTCCAGCAAAGGAGGACTGGAAGAACACAATGCGATGTGTTCAGCAACAGAACACTGTTTAGTCATTAAAAGCTCACCAATGTAGGTGAGTTTCAACAACAGGATGCTAGTTGAAAGCGTACAGACCAGAAGGCCACGTGTGACGAGAGAGTGACCCCACTTGCATGAAATGTCCACACCCAGGCCAATCCAGGAGGACAAAAAGTGGCCTGGGGGTTGCCAGGGGCCGAGGGCAGGAAGTGACTGGTGGACAGAGGTTTCTTTTGGGAGAGACAAAACCAGACAGCAGGGAAGGTTGCACAAAACTGTGAATATGTAAAACCCTGAAACGACCTAGAACTGGGGATTTCAGCAGGCCATCTCCTGAGCACATGCCTGAGAAAGGGCCACGAAGCTACAGGCTGCAGAATTGACCTCCTGCACAAGCCCAAGGCAAGAAACCTCATGGAACAGCCTCGGCCACATGTGAGAGCCACCATTGGTGGCAGTGTGCCTAGACAGTCCTCTTCTTAACTGAATCATCTCCCACTGGGCTACCTGTTGTCAGGAAGAGAACAATGCTGAGTGATGCCAGGTAGGACCCTGAAAATCTGAGCTGGTATGATGAGGCACTGGCGGGGGGGGGGGGGGGGCTTGACATAAAAGAGCGGCATTTTTTTTTTTGTTTGCTTAAGAAAGAAGCCAAACAAATTATTTTGAGGGTCCAATTCACCCTGGGGGGCCACTGAAATACAATGGTTTAATATGGCTTTTATAGAATTTGAAAGTCCCTCTTGAGGGCTGGCCCCATCTGCCTCTTGGGGCCCACCCAGCACCTCTCCAACATAGAGCAGTCCACACCCACATGCGATGTATACATGCTGGACAGACGGGCAGCACAGAGCACTTTCTGCTGCTTAGGCCCGTGGTCCCCACCGCTGTGGCTTCTTAGTCCCTCCCCCTGGCCTCACAGTCTCCTGAAGGAGTCTGCTCAGCTCCAGGGCCTGTCATTCTTGCTCCTCCTCAATCGGGGAAGGGCTCACTCCCCTGTCCTGGTCTTACTTGGCCCCCTTCTCAGACTCCACTGGGGCTGCAAACTACACAGCAGCGTCCGGAGCTCAGTCTCCTATTTATGGGGACAATACTTTGCAGAACATTTTTACTGTGCTTTTAAAACTTGTGTGCAAAATGCAAAACACTTCTGAATTTGATTCACAATACAGAGCATTAGTTTAAAATTCTCCCCATTTCCTGACGTTTTGAAAGCAACTAAAAGTCAGCCACTTAAAACTTCAGTTACCACTGCCTTCCCACAAAGAAAAAGCAGCCCGGTTTTTGTAGTCTCTTATGCAAGATGGACAGGCCTACCCTTTGTTTTTCTTTGATTTTTTATAGAGCTGGCTTTTTCGACATCTGCTTGACCAGATGCAGGTTTATCTTGCTGTTCTTCCACGTTTAAATTGGAAATTGTCAGAACAATTTCATCTTTTCCTTCGTCTCCTGGCCTTGCTTCCACAAGGAAGAATTGCTCTTCTGTGCTTTCAGTTGATCGGTTTTCCATCACCAGCTGCTCCTCTTCCTCACCTTTTTCAAGCTGATCAACAAAAAAGGAGCATTCAAACAAAGGCAACACTATTGATTACAGTCCAACTAAAATCTCTGCCTTGGACAAACCATAGAATATATGAAGAAAAGCAAAAATAAAAGATTATGTAGTGCAACCAAAATGCTTCAGCTGCAATAATTTATCGCTACGGTTTTTACGATGAAACAACTTTTTTTTTTTAAACACGATGCACCTATAGTATTTGAGTTAGCATAACTTTAAAAACCCTAATAAAAAAAAGAAACAAAGGTCTCCCACGATTTTCCTGGGAATTATTTTTTACTGTGTTTAATCTTAAACTGCAAATTAGCTTGTCCGTTGGTAATATTGCACAAAGCCGAGTTTTACGATACGGTTTTATTTTCTTCTTCTGTGCACAGGGTCGGTTTAACAATTGTACCTTGGTCAATCCTGTGCTTTGGGCCCCGCTGGCCGCTAACTGGCGCTCTTCGCCGGTTGCGGACACGTTCTCCTCCAGCAGGTGGAACTGCATCACCTCCACCCCTTGCAGCGGGAACAGCTCTTCCTGGACGCTGATGGCCAGGCACTGCTGCGCACTCTGTTGGGGCTCTTCGCGGAGCCACAGCAGCGACGGCAGCCCGCTGTCGGCCTGCACCACCACCTGCACCTCCTCTGCCGGCTGTGCACTCAGCCAGCCCAGCTCCCGCATCTCCACGTCTTCAGAAGCCAAGTGCACGGTCTGCAGTGTCAGGATGTGCTTCTCGCTCGGGGCGGGCACCAGCGACAGCTCTCCCTCCAGGTGCTTGGCTTGCAGGGGCCTGCAGCTCCCCTCGGCCTGCAGCTCGCTGGCGCCCTGCGGGCTCCCAGATCTGCGCACCGTTTCTTCCTGCATACCCTGCTCTGGGACTTGGGCCGGCAGCACATCAGGCTCTTTGATTTTGGTAAACTGCGTGGAAGGGCCCGAGACCTCGGTGGCGGCCATGGTGCCGCTGCCTGATTGGGAAAGAAGCCAGCGGTCTGGAAGGGCACAAAGGGCTGGGCCTAGGGGCTTCAGGGGTGATGCTGCTCTGGCCCAAGAGGGTCAGACCACAGTGACCCTGCGTGGCTCCAGAGGGCTGCATGGGAGGGACCTTGGCCGCAGCAATGTTCTAGAACGCAGGGGGGCCGCACGGGCTGGGTGGGGGCCGTGCGTTCTGCCCAGTGAGGCCTAGGTGGGATACATGCCCGCTCCACCCCGCAGGCCTCCACGTGCACCGCGCTGGCCCAACCCCTCAGGAGCAGGGAGCCTGCGGCCTGGTGACTCCTGACCCATCCCACAGGCCAGGTCTCGAGCGCCAGGGGCCCCCCCCTCCTCGCTTCCCTGGCACCCTCCGCCCGTGCCCTTCCCACCCTAAGGTACAGTCTGTGCTGCTAGAGGCTGCCTCGTGCCGCCCCTGGCCTCCCTCACCGCGGGAGGCGTGGCCTGGGGCCAGCCCGCCTGTCCAGGCCTCGTGCACCGCGTGCTGCAGCCGCCGCCGCCGCCGCCGCCTTGAGGGTGAGCCCAGTGCGCAGGCGCCAGCGTCAAAGGGGCTATGAGAGGGGGCGGAGCCAGGGGCATGGGGAGCTGGGGGGATGGAGCAAGGGGGGCGACCAGGGTAGGGGCAGGTAGGACCGGGTGGGATGGAGAGTAGGGATGGAGGGAGGAGCTGGAGAGAGGTGAGAGATGGAGAAGAGGGAGGCGGAGGAGAGCCCTAAAGGGGGCGCCGAGAGTGCTGGGGGGAGTGGATGATGGACTTGGAGGGGGCCCTGAAGGGGGCGCCAAGAGCCACGGGGGTGAGGAAGGGGGCCGAGTGGAGGAGGGCGGACCTTAAGAGTTCGTGAAACAGAAACAGGGTAGTGCAGCTGGACAGGGCAGGAGTGGCGGGAGGAGAGCCCTGGAGGAGGCTTCCCGAGCGGAGCTGGACAGGGTGTAGGAATGTGCGGGAAAGCGCCCAGGGGCGAGCAGGAGAGCCCCGCTTTGCCGGCATCGGAGGAGGGACAGGGAAGTCCGTGAGAAGTTGGGGGTGGGGAGGGAGGACCCCTAGAGGACGCGCAGACAGGCGTCGCAGAGGGAGGCGTAGGTGTGCAGAGGTGAGGGGTCAGGGAGAGGAAGGGGAAAGGGAACCCTGGGTGGCACAGATATGGAGGCCAGCAGGACAGAGACAGGGCAGTGGAGAGGTGGGGAGCTGGGAGCCAAGGGAGCAAGACGACTGGGGCATGCATAGCTCTAGGTCTTTCTGGCTCTTTTGATCTCATGCAATTCCAGAACTGTCTCATTCAAGCACGTGGGAGGTCCAGGGGGAAACGGAAGTGTGAGGAGACAGGAGTGCTGGGGACGAGTTGAGAATCAAAATGGCACCGAACTGTGCACTTCAAATGGTGCGCCTCAGGGTTGGGGGCGGCTCTGCGTGGAGCTCTTGCCTTGCATGCCCGAGGTTCTGGTTTTGTCCTGCAGCACCTCAAAAACAAGACAATAAAAACCCAGAAACAACAACAGAGTGCACTTTGTGTGTTATTCACCTTAATAATTCATTTTTTAATGGAAATTAATCATTTTGATGATCTCGGGGGTGGGGAGGAAGAAGGGGGGGGTGCGGGTGATCATCCTTAAACTAGACACAAAATAAATGCAAGTTTGGAACCAGGGGGTCAATACAGTAGTCTTCAAGTGGGGCTTTTGCATGCACACCTGTAATTCCAAACACACCTGCAACCCCAGCAGTCCCAGCCACTCTTGAGGCTGAGGAGGAGGGTGTCCAGTTCTAGGCCAGCCTGAGCCACTTAGCAGACCCATCTCAAGGTAAAAAATAAGAAAGAGATGGGTAAAGCGTGGTCAGGGGGGTTGCAGTTCCTTTATTTTAGGTAGTTCATAACATTTCAAATTCAAAACATTTTAAAATTATAAAGGAATTTTCTTCTTTGCTGATTGTGAATGTATTTGTATGGGGGGGGGGAGAAAAACAACTCAAAGGAGAAAAGAGTTGGGGGAAGAGGCTTCCAAACTTCCCTGAGCAATGAGAAATGGCTTTGAGGAGGAAGTAAGTGGCTTTGTTTGGCCTTCCATTGTTTAAGCAGCTCTTCCAACAACCAGGGAAGGGTTCTCCTCCCACCACAGCCAGAAAATGTTCTATATCCATACAAGTGCTTTTGCATATCCTAGCCCATCCTCTACCCTTGTTGTTGCTCTCTTATTTGTGCAGAATATGTACGCAAATATTTTCTTCATTTTCAGTAGTATAAAGGATAGAACTAAATTCGGTTTTAAAAGAAACTCATGTACCAGCAGTAATGCGTCTGCGGGTGATTCGTGGATCACTAGTCTCGCCACCGTGTCTGGGGATTCTATTACAGTCTATGTACCACATGGAGAAGATAAATATTTGAAGGTCACCCGGAAAATGGTGTGTTATAATAACTTCTTCTAAATCATTTAAATGAGCTTTTCTGCTTGAGCAGTCACCACCTATTTCATGCCTTTTTTTGGGTAACTTCGCATTGTTGCTGTAATACTCATGCAGCTAGAAAGCCTTTGCAGTGTTTATATTATAGATTTGTGTTTTGAAATTTCAAAAACTGATTAAAAGTTTATTTTTTTTTTAAAGGAGATAGAAGAACTCAGTGGTTGAGCACTTTGCCTCACATGCTGAGGCCGTGGGTTAAATCCCCAGTACTAAAATAGAAGGGCGTGAGGCCAGGAGGAGGAACATGGAAGGGGAAACTGAGTCAGATTCAGAAGGGAAAAGTGTGGGGTGAAGCGGGGGAGACAGCTGGACAGGGGTGGAGAAGCCAGAGAAAGACCTGGAAGGAGGCGGGGGCCGGGAGACACACGGGCACTGCTCTGCACTTGGACTCCCCCCGGCCTCCCCATCTTCCTGGACAAGGTTGTTTGGGGGTGAGGCATCTCAACAAAGAGATGGTAGGTTTCCTGCTAACAGGCCGGAGATGCTCAGGATGAGGTAGGATTCTGTTGTACCCTGAGTGCACAGTGGTGTCTACCAGCCGAGCTCTGGTCTCTGCCCTGTGGTGCCTGCGTCTTGTCCATGTAGTTGAGGGGAAACAGGGAAGACCTACGCCCGTGCCCCTCCACCTGGTTTGGTCCCTCCTTGGCCTACCCCCTCGTTCCTTCAGATCACTTCTCCCGCCGAGTGCCATCCCTGCTCCATCCTGACCCATCTCCTGATCGTCCTCGGTGATTTCAGTGGAGGTGCGTGAAGGATAAGGATAAAACTGAAACAAAACACGGGGGGCCACGATGGATGCAGCAGTGGCTGTCACAGTCCTGAAAGGGCTCAGTTTGCTCACGGCTCCAAAGTGAGCATCACGGGGCTTGCCACTCCATGGTTTCCTGGCCCTAAACGTGAGCCTAGACTCTTTCTGGGGCACTGGGTAAGCACTTAAGTCTTTAAGGTTCCCAGATGAGTAAGGAGTAGGATAATGAAAGGCAGGGGAAGCAGGGCCTTCGGAAACCTGCAGGAGCTCGCCAGAACAGCCCGCGGGGGTTAGGACTCTCACTTGGGAGGCAGAAGCTGCAGGCCGGAGCTCCCGCCTCTTCCACGTGTAATCTCTTCATGTTTCTTCTCTACTGCCCCGGGGGGAATAATGCATAAAATATTTTATTTAATATCCGCATATTGTGTATTTACACTTTAACATGTAACTATAATAGAGTTGAGAGGCGTAAAATGTATTTACACATGAGTACAGAGTTATACGAGTTTCCCGTCTGTGCAGTGTGGTGGGGGGGACGGGAAAGCTCTGTCCTGGCAGGGACCTTCCTCCTCGTGCTGACAGTATCTAGAGGGCCTAGACGCTTCCTGGGACAGTGTCCTCCCCAGCTATCTGTGGGGCAGCTGAGTGTTGGAGCCCAGTGGTCACTCTCTGTGCCTCTCTGGCATGTGTGCAGGGTACCTCTGGCTTTGTCCCCAAGGAAGTGTCCCAGGGGATTTGCTCTCGTTGCCCTATGTGGCATTTACCCAGACAATTCAGTGATGTCACCGTCCTCTTAGTTTTGAGGAGCCTTTTGTGTCCCCTCACAGTAGCTCACTCCTACAATTCATACTCATGATCACTCTGAGGTCTACACTGTGGGCCATTGGGGTGCTCAGAAGGCTCTTCTGAAATGCAGGCCAGCACCCGAGACTCCCAGCCTGAATGCTGTGTGTGAATTCCCAAGATGGAATATGGCAGAGATTAGGGTGAGAGAAGGTGACCCCTAGCAGGCCAGGAGGCTCTCCCTACCCAGCTTCCCCCGTGCCGCCTCGGCTGTGGGCCACCCTCACCTTCAGTTCTAAACAGAAAGAGCTGGAGAGTTGATTGCTTCATTATTGGGCAATGGGATTAGAGATTCGATGCCAGGCTTTTCTTCTGCATGGCTGGTTGTTTCTGTGTTTATTTATCATTACTCTGAAGATGAACCAGCAATTGGTCTAACACCGCTGTTGAATCCATCCTCACGAGCTAAGCCTGGCTTATCCAAGGGTTGTGAAGATAATTTGCAAACAGCTTAGCTTGATTTTGCCCAGGATGATCCTGGGGTCACCCTCATTTCAAGCGCTAGGTTGCTATGCGGGCATCTGTTTCGGAAGGTGTTGAGCAGCCTGTTGAGAAAACATTGTTTTGACACCAATCATTCTACTTTGAACTTTGGTGTGAACACAGAGAAGGTACTCTGATTTAATGGTGGTTCAGCGTTACTCTTGAATTTGGCCACAGGCTGAGGAGTTTGAGGACAAATGAGATACTAAATGGGATTCTTAAAACTGGGAAGTCAGTGGCTGAAGAGGCAGAGCCCAGGGTGGGGGGCTGACCACTAAGTAAGCCCAGTGGGGTTTGAAATTCTCCAGTACCTAATTATTATAGCCTCCACTCTGTCTTGCTTCCATATGGAGAAGCAGGTGGTAAATAGACAAATAAGAGCTTTGTTACATTTAGTCTATTTAAATGGAGTCCGAAAACTAGCATCTC